TTATGTCTAAATTTGAGGCACTTGTCGTTCACAGAAATAAAAAAGGCTTGGGCCAGCAAAATTTAGGTCTTCATAGTTTCTGAAAATGTAAAAATTATTCTAAAAACGAGACACCGAATTTCATCGTAGTGGCACTTTAAATATATATTTTTTCTATTAGAACATAAAATTGCTCTATATCACTTTCATTTTCAAGTGCACTGAAATAGACTCGTTGTTTAATAATGACGTTATGTCCAAATTTTTGAGTGTTGTCATCCTTCATTTGATAACATGAGTGTGATAAAAATGAAATTACACTACCAGCAAGTGTGTACCTTTCTACACTCAATTGAAGAATCGTTCTCGGGTTCACAAACATAGAACATAGAAGCTGAGACCGAAATGGCACATGGGAAGTACTTTAATTAGATGCATGCTGTGACCGGCGACCCGTGGCATCATCCACTGTTTTTAATACSCSTTTGGCATTCTAAACCGACTGCATGGATGGCGCAAATGAATAAATTATAATATAWTTATGTCATTTCCCATRTGCCATTTCKGTCTCAGCTTTTATGTTCTTYATTTGAGTGTATACAAATACTCTATACGAATACTTCACTTCTTTCTCTTGAACTGACTTCATTAGAAATATTTGGTGGAAACTGATCATGGCTTAGTAGTCGGGAACTAACCGGATCTTCTCGTACATCTATGCCACTAGCCGGCTGATTTAATCTTTCAGGGCTATGAGCTGTAGATTCACTCATGGCAGTTTCGTAAGACGGTGGGAATTCCAAGTTATGTGACCGGTTTAAATTGTCGTTACGGCCTATGTCATCATAACTCKGCGGTGGACCGCAAGGAACGCCAGAATTAAGAACAATGTCATTCCTTAGCAAATCAGAATAACCTATTGAATCACCTTGTGTTGGTCTTCCGTGATCTTGTCGCTGTTCTATTTCCAAACCAAGAAGTCGGTTACGAGATTCTATCCGCGCTCTATCTCGGTTACCTGAGGGTGACTGACGAGTACTTGACTTTTTCCGACAGCACCATAYAGTTAACCCTATCAAGAAAATAGCCACTGCAACAACACCGAATATAATTGGTATTGTCACTTCTAGAATTTCTTTGCTTTTGTTAGCTGAAAAACAAACAGGACAGTTTTGTATGWGAGGTGATCAGAGTCCCGAGATTCAAGACTCAAGGCATGATAACGGTACGACTACGGCAAATTAGAGCGTTTATCGTATGGGTGGGAAACATACGGTACTKTACTTACAGCACATGCACGGTACGACATGCCGTAACATTGAAATGGCTTTCAATAAGAATGGTTTCCGTATGAGTGGGAACATACGATACTGAATTACAGCACATACACGGTACGACATGCCATAACATTGAAATGGCTTCCAATAAGAATGATTTTCGTATGAGTGGGAACATACGATACTGAATTACAGCACATACACGCGGTACGACATGCCGTAACATTGAAATGGCTTCCMATAAGAATGGTTTMCGTTTGCGGGGAAACATACCGTTTTGCAGTGACGTCATTTCTAATTCACTATTCCAGATCCGCTGGAAAAGTTATAAGTAGTTTTACGGGTTGGCGTTATTATAGAAATGCGCGTCTCAAATAAAACCTATCCTACTGTATTTTTCTTTACCTGGTTTATTTTTATCCGTCAAATACGTAGGGACGAAAGTTTTCGGTGCTACAGTTGTCTCCATCACCAGTCTRTAATACGCCTTGAATCCATTCCCACGACATTGTTTTCTTGCGTACAAAGACTTAAACGTTATGTATATTTTCGTCCAGGGTATGAAGGAAATCACCTTGTCTGGTTTAATCCCATTACAGAACGTCCCGTAGTTAGTTATAGTCAAGTGATCGTACCGAGTGCACTCTTCGTACGCAGGGTCAACCAAGTAGCAACGGTAGAGATCCATTTCTTTGATCTCAAGTATAACTGTATATTGGGTAGGTCGTATAATCCAGGTCCATTCTATATTTTTGGGGTATATTTTTGGATAATATGGACTGGATAATGACCCGTTAAGAGCTGTTAGATGAATTTCTTTAAAAAAGAAAAAAGTGATAAGAAAATACTCGCGTGTAGTCGTTATACACTAAATTGTTTTCACTTTTTTGAGTGTGTGGATTCCATATCCGTGAATCAAAACTAAACTGAAATGGCATCGAAAATAACAGGATCGATCCTATAGTTCATTGTAGCAAATTCTAAATCCCAGTATCCTATGTTAGGTATTTTGATTTTGATACCTAGTCCCCTAAATCCTATTCTCTGGGTATTCATTCCTCTTWTTATTGCTAGCAACCATACCCATTCTCTGGGTATTATTTCTCCTTTTGTTGCTAGCAACCAAACCCCATTTTCGGGGGTATTAAAGGCGATGTGAATATATGCAATCAGTAGAGGATCAATACGATATGGAATTTTYCCAGAGCTTTGCTCAGTTTTCAATGTGCTAACATTGTTTACATATAAATACAATGCACAATATTTGCACAATTCAGAATTTCAGGCTTGGTATTCAACATGCAATATGCAGTATCCTACATGCAACAACGGCAACATATATAAAGCAAAACCTTAYCAACMTTTTTTGAAATAGCTGTCAGTATAAGGGAGAAAAGAGAAACAGTAAGGGGAGTAAATACGAAGGAAGGAGAAGAATTGATGGCCGAAATTTAAGRCAAGCGATAGCTAAATTATGTTAAATAAGAACAGTAAAAAAGACACTTACCTCGGTATCTCTGCACGGCTTGTACACTAACTTTACTYGACTTGAGCAGCATTAGCACTATAACTATTAATAGCATAATGCAATAAGTTATTGTAATGTGATAATGATATTAATGCTGGGTGTTGATGATGGTGGTGATGACAGTAGAGATGATGATGATGAAGGTGTTGGTGATGATGATGATGATGATCGAGGGTTGTTGATGGTGATGATGATGGCAGATCTAGGGGAGCGGTGCAGGGGGAGCGCACCCCTTTCCCTCCCATTTCTAGATGAGCTGATAGTCTACTGCATTATTGGTGTTTGAGTTTGTAAGCAAAAGTTGCACCCCCTCCTAAAACGAAAATCCTGGATAGTGCAACCCCCATCCCCCTTAAAAAAAACCTGATTCCGCCTGCTGGATGRTATTGATGATGATGGTAGTGTTGGTGTTGATTGTGCTGATGGTAGTGATGATGGTGGTAGTGATAATTTTAATGGTGGTAATGATAATGTTAATGGTGTTTGTGTTAGYGATGATGATCATGATCATGATGATGAACTAAAGTGGACGATGGCGGTAGTCCAAATGATAAATTAAAACTCAYTCATGATGACAAATGATTTTCAGAGAAGAAATATAAATGATATCCTGAATTGTAATAATATCATTCAGAACCATCTTCATACCATACTCTTAATAAAACATCKCCCTCGTATTCTAGTATGCCTAACCTTGTCTGTTATACTTTTCTTTACCGATTGTGTTGTCATTGAAGATGAGAATCACAGAACATTTGAAGCAAGGATACAATTTGTTATTGAAAGGGTCACAAATGTGAAGAATGTTGATAAAGAACAAAAACGACGTGCACAAGGCACTGATCTTGTTTAGACTTAAACTACATTCTAGATTCTTACATATTTGCATGTAGACCTGATATTTTATCTAGTATACTTTTTATGATATCTCATATCCTCGTGCTCTTTTACTTTTCCTTCGTATTCATTTCACTCGAATTATCCAAAAAATTACCATTTTAGAACTTCATGCTTCTCTTGCCACGCATCTTATTTAATTAATTACTAGTCAAGAAGGCTTCTTTAGCCTATTGACTGAATAAACTTGGACAGCGTGCTCAGTACTGACTTGTATACTGCTATAGCTAAAGTTTTTCACTTCGAGTTTATTGGATATACATAACGGAAATACTTCATAGCTATTTTTTTCCTTTTGCCTTTGATATCTGCTTTTGCCTCCTCYAGCGTTGGTTAAATAAGGTAAATCATTCTAATTTCGTATACGACTCATAGTAGTTGGTGATACAAAAGTTGAAGCCTATGTTTGACTTACCCAAAGCATCGTACAGTGTCACCGATAACTCGAAGYTTCGCTTCATTCTGTTGGTTTGAAAGAAACGTGTTTGCACTTGTGGTGTTCATGGAACATTTTACTCCTCGCCTCTCCTTCACTGGCCAGTATATTTGCACCAAATTCAAACTGCGTCGTTCAGTAACAGTTTAAATGAATTCTAKGGTTGCTTTTTCTGCGACTGTTTTTTTACACCGAGAAATAGAATATCACTAACAACTCTAAAGACAAGACAACTTTCGCTAGGTTGTTCGATTGTTGATGTCATGTTTTGTCAACCGTTGCATGACTGCCAATTTATGCGCATTCATTAGAACCTAATTATCATTCTTTTTTGGCACTCATTCATCGCAGAATGAATGGTCGGAATTTTTTTTACTCATTTACTTTAATGAGCCTTCAATATCGAAGTTGACTTAAGAATCTTATACCAATTTTCAAATTGTGCGGTAAGGCCAAAACTTCAAGTGAATCTGTAGTTTATTGGCTTGTTTATATTACAGGGTTGTGCGAAAAGAAAACGAGAAAGAGGAGAATAACTAGGCTATTAAAATACAATATACCAGTTGAGATAAGGCTCAAGATTTTATTGAATAACAGCAGTCATGAAGTTTGATAATACTTAGAAAAAATCTTATAAGGACACCAGCAATACTCTATAGTATGAAGGTGATATAAAGCCACGTGTTACATGTAGAGGTTTTAGCAATCACTAGATTGGAACATAGCCGTGTTCCTCTATTGGGCATAACCCTAAATTAGTACAACAGAATAATCTTCAAGGTTAGTCATAAGGTTACATGTTWCTTAACTTAAGCCTTAAAAAATTATTAGAGTCACGTTACGAGAAATCGTTTAACTGGTGATAGGAAACAGAGCCCGGGTTTCCTCTATTCTTGGATGAACCATTTTAGTCCGACACGATCCTGAGTGTGACCTCTGCTTTGGTGTTTTCCCACTGTCCAKCGTGACATGTCTCTTTCACCAGTAGTCGTTACTATGGTGAACCACCAATAAGCATTCGGCGGGATTTCTTTCTCGTTATTCGATGCGGTATGCATGCTCACACTATTCAGCGTTCCTGCTGCGACGTCAGCTCCGTYGATGACTAAATTTTGGGCGGGAAAWGCGTAGGCACCGTTTTCATACACCAGTCGCACCGAGGCTCCTCGTCTAACAGCATTCACGACGTTACTTCGTGAGCCTTGGATACCATGACCAGCGGAGTTGTGCTTGAAAGCTAATTTCCATGGACGGGTATCTGCAAACCAGTTAATGGCCCATTGATCTTTTGTGTTTCCGCGCGGTACATGGCTTCCTACGTTATACCTCGTCGCGCGTACCGTACCAGTGGTACAGGCCATCAGCCACCACCAGTAGACGTTATCCTGGAAGGTGTCTAGAGATGCTTTACTGACATGCTTTAAGGCTTGAGCAGTCACATGACCTTTCAAAATGGACAGGTTATCGGCTTCAGTGGTGTAGTACTCCAACATTGGAAACTGGATTCGAATTCGTCTACCGGACTGTATTGCGGATATCAGAGCTTTCAAACTCCCCTGTGTTGCGTGACCAGATTTATCATGGGAATACACCAGCTCCCAACATGGATCTTRAAACCACTCTGTACTGACTTTGTCATTTGTGTGACCTCTRTCMGTGTGACTKCCAACAGTCCAGCGTGACATKTCACGCTTYCCGCTCGTACTAATAATAGTGAAGAACCAATATGCATTWTTCTGGAAAACGATGTTCTTACCAGATTGTGTCTTACTCACGTGGTCAAGAAACTGTCCCGCTACTTTAGTTGCGTCATACGCGATGTTTTGCAGAGGGAAACCATACCAATTATCAGTAACAGCGCGAATCTCTTTTCCAGAGGTTATGGCATTCTTAAGATACTCTATGCTCCCAGCTGTGCGTTGACCAGATTTTCTGTTAGCGTAGACTGGCTCCTGTTGACAGTAGGATGACTTGACGTACCATTTAGCAGAGGTTGTCGCAGTTGTGACGCCACGTGAAGTATGGGCACCAACGTTATACCTATAACATCACAAAACAACAAGACACAATAAATGTTTGAATATTTTAGTAACAACAAGGGTTATTAGAAATTGGATGTGGCAACATACTTTGTCATAATTAATAGACCTCCTCGGTTCGGGCGTATGGTTTTTCCATTTCAGACCACATGTCATTCCCTCGATAATAATATTCTTTGTTCGCGAGTTGTATCCATATTCATGTGTCTTATGTGCAACCGTTAAACAAAGAAATTATATCCTAGGGAATGACACGTGGTCTGAAATTGGAAAACATTACTCCTTGAACGTACCGATGTGTGTTTACCTGATATTCTGAACAAATCCATTGGACGATACCATGGTCCAGTACCAATASGCATCGTCCTGGTAAGTCTTCCACGATGATTTACTCACGTCTTGCAACAACTCTGCATGGGCGTGATCTTTATACACGTAAATTCCATCAGCCTCAGTGAGTGTTGTACTCCAGCCGACTCGAACACGTGCTCCTGCGAGTATAGCTGCCAGTAAGGCATATCTGCTGCCTGACACGGTCTGTCCTTTTGCGTCGTTTTCGTGGACAAGCTTCCAAGTGTCACAACACTGACCCTATACATGCAGACAAAATGCAGATGACAAGATTATTATGTTTCTATGTGTCCAAACTTACTAAAAATTATATATATATATGTGTATGTATATATATATATATATATAGTAAATATATAGTAAAGATTGGATTAAAGACGAGACATGTTCACTGTAACTCCGAGTTTCGTGCTTACGCACTCATCAGACAGACTTTAATGAAACATATTCCTAT